AGAAAAAGAGAAGAACTTATCCACATGTTCTTCACCACGTGCCCTCTTAAAAGCGAGGTTCCCTCCCCCACCCAGACCCCCCGACCGAGCTGGCTGGCTGGGGAATTCTGGGAGTTGAAGTCCACGCATCTTCAAGTGCCCAAGGTTGAGAAACATTGATTTAATGTCTTCCCCAGCCAACCATTCTGGAAGTTGAAGTCCACCCATCAGAGGTTGAGAAACACCAGGACAGAGGCATGGTTTAGATTTCAGGGTATGACCTAAAGGCTTGGGCCAAGTAGAACTGGAATAAAATGTTCCCTGCAGTCTGTGTGTTCCCAGTGGGACAAAGAGTTGAATGATTGCCATGCTCCCAAGATCCAGTCAGTCACAGTCAGTCCATCAGTTTAGCTTCAGGTTAGAATATGACCCAGCTGGGTGTCTTTGTTTTGTAAAGAGATGAAGCTACTTTATATTTTCTCTTATTTAGTCATTGAGGTCCTTTTTTTGGAGACCACCATTGTTGTGGTGGCATGGACGTGAGAACTATGGTCACTGGTATGTATCTTTTCTTGCAAACATTTAATGTCCAATACTGTCCACTCCAACCACTAGAATTACTGGCCGTGTTGACAGTGTGGCTGAGATATCAGATCTGCCAGAGACGACGTATAAATGCAGAATCACAGGATGGAAGGATCAAAAGAGATGGTGGAGATCAGCTAGGCCATTGTTCCTCCATCTCAGCAGCTTTAAGATGGGTGGGCGTCAACTGCCAGAATTCCCCAGCCAGCATAGGGAATTCTGGGAGCTGAAGTCCACCCATCTTCAAGCGGCCAAGGTTGAGAAACATCGTATTAGGCACATGAAATATACAAATTCTTATTGGCGCATAGTGGAAGTTAAGTCAATGCCGGATCCTCTACTTTAGGAATAGTGCAAATCAAGTATTTACACTGGCATTTCAAGATTTAATGCTTCCCCCCTCATCTCCACGTGATTTTCCCAGCCTTTCCTGATCCTGTCCAGAGCAGCTCTCAAAGGTGGGACCATTAGTGTTGTGACTTCGAGGGAGAGGAAAAGAGAAAGGAACAGCTGGTTTCCGCAGCCTCTGGCTTTTGGAGAAAGCTAAGTAAATATTTTGTTCGCCTTGCTAGATTGCAATGTTCCCGCAGTTAAGGAGAAGCCAGACCGCAAAGACGCGATTAAGCAATCAGGTCAGGGAGGCTCAAAACAAGTGAGAGTAAACAAGACTCCAATGCGCTTACCAAATGGGAACATCTTCAGTTGTACGCACGGGGGCCATATTTTCTTGGAAAAAAATTAAGGACAAACCTGAAAAAGGGGCAAATCTGAAAGAGCTTCATAAGGCTAAAAAAAAATTAATTGTTTATATTTGTAACTTTGCTTTGCAAAGGACAATTCAAGAGCCTCCTGGCTGGGGAATTCTGAGAACTGAAGTCCACGCATCTTAAAGTTTCTGAGATTGAGGAACCCTGCTTGAGTCTAACTCCCTGCCCAGTGCAGGAATCCACTACAGTATTTCAGCACCCCCAACGGGATGGCAGTCCAGCCTCTGTTTGGCACCTCCAGCAAAGGGAAGCCCAGCTGTTCCGGAGCCCCTGTGGCACCGAGGAACGGCTCTTGCCCTTGGAAACTTCTTCTGGATGACCAACTGAAATCTGAAGGCCTTGTCCTGGTCGTATTCCCCATAACTGGTATAATGCTGGGGTTGGAGATGGACACCAGCCTTTTCTAATTCAACTCCCTTGTTTCTTGTCTTGTTCTGGTAGTGAAGAAGTGGAGATGTTTATTTCCCTCATTTACTCAGAGTTCTGGTTGGTGCTGAACAACTATCTCTTCTTCGAAGAGTGACGTTGTCTAAAAAAGATAGCGTGGCATTTGAAGCGGTTTCTCTTCCCTCTTCCTTTCCGGCTGCCCTCCTTAGACCAAAGGGTCCCGTTAACCCTTGCATTCCCCCAGGAAAAAATTACCATTCCATCATAGCCCATGTAGAAGTTTTCCACCCCTCTTGGTTGCCCCCCATAGTGATGGAAAGGTATTTTTAGAAGAAAAAGCACCAGGATCCAATTATGGATGTGCAACCACTATATTTTAAACATAAAATATGTATTGTGCTTATTATTTTATGTTTTACATTTAAATTCTGCCAGTGAAGCTCCAAAACTGTTACCAGGGTCTTCCTCTAGGCCAGTGTTTCTCAACCTTGACAGCTTGAAGAAGTGTGGACTTCACCTCCCAGAATTCCCCAGCCCAATGCTGGGGAGTTCTGGGAGTTGAAATCCACTCATCTTAAAGTTGTCAAAGTTGAGAAACGCTGGCTTATACAGTCAAGAAATTCCTCTTCATCTCCAATGTATATTGATTTTCCCATAGTTTCATCCTATTGATTCTGGTCCTGCCTCCTGGATCTATAAGCCTCCTTCTCTGGGACGGGGTGTCCGAGCACAAGCAGTTTGAAAGTGCATGTTTGCACTACAACAAACTCGACCCACTCGGAATAATAATGAATAAGGTTTTTATTTTTATATGCATACCAAGTGAATGGTTTATTTAAACGTTGGTGATATACTAAGCAGGTAGCTAACCAGTGCAAAAGAAACTGAGGTTCACAAGACCAAAAGTTTCAGATTTTGCTGCAATTAGGCCAAGAAATTCATTTTGGAGAACCTGACACTGCCCAGGTTTGATTGACCATCAGCAAAGAAATTAAAGTGAAGATCTACAACAGAGAAGGTTCTGTTATCTGAGGGAGCCAGATGTGCTGGGCTAGCAGGTAGTCGTAGTCCAAAAGGGACTGAGGGGAGACTGGATACAGCCACATCACTTCCAAGGGATCCTGATGACTCACCTCTGTTTATCTTGCTTTCTGGGAAAACACGGGCGAGCCGATTCTTTGGAGAGCCCTCCCTTCCTTCTCTACCCTGGCATTCTTTTGAAGGTCACAAGGGAAAAGACAAACTTGAAGGGCGTCAAGATGACATCCTTTTATTAAGAAGACTAGACCCCCCAGTCAGAGCTTCATTACTCGTGAGATCTTCTGATGAGAGCGAGATCAGAAAACTCCCCCCCCCCCATATTACCTCTGAGTTTCCACTGAATGTCTAAAGGGAAGGAAACAGTTGTGGGTCTCCTGTACTAGTGAGTGGGAGACGAAGGTGCTGCCTGGGCACGTGTGGGTGGGTGTGCCATGTCTCACCACATTTGTCCTTTGAACGCTGCAGGCATCTACAGTGATACAGCTGCTGGATTAGATTCGAGAGTTGTGTTCTTGCACACAAAGGCTCCCAAGGAAACACATCTATTTTTCACCCCTTATTCGCACTTCATCCCTGAGTTGGCTGCACGCATTACGCTGTTACACAGAGCCAGCCGGCCAGTTCCTCTGAGAATTGAGAAGTGAGGGAGGGTCCCTTCTGAGCCTCTTTCTCCATCCATTAGGCAGCTGAGGGCTATGCTGTCTCTTATCTGACCGTTCCCTAGGTGTCAGTCTTGCCAGGTAGACCAGGCAGGAAACATGACCAGATGAGCTAATTCTACTTTATTGTAAGGCTACATTAACAGAATCTTGCAAATCTGAAAGTACAATTCTCCCGCTGTCTCCTTTACAGCCTGAGAAGTAGTTAGGGAGGGTCCCTTCTGAGCCTCTTTCTCCATCCATTAGTCAGCTGAGGGCTATGCTGTCTCTTATCTGACCGTTCCCTAGGTGTCAGTCTTGCCAGGTAGACCAGGCAGGAAACATGACCAGATGAGCTAATTCTACTTTATTGTAAGGCTACATTAACAGAATCTTGCAAATCTGAAAGTACAATTCTCCCGCTGTCTCCTTTACAGCCTGAGAAGTAGTTAGGGAGGGTCCCTTCTGAGCCTCTTTCTCCGCCCATTATGCAGCTGAAGGCTGTGCCCTCTCTTATCGGACCGTTCCCTTGGCAGCGTCTCTTCCCCCCATCTCCCAAGGTCATTCCCACAGACCATTACAATGTGTCAACGTAGAGTCTGGACAGCCATCTCTCTCGGATGCTTTAGCTGAGATTCCTGAGCAGGGGGCAGACTAGCTGGCCTGAAGGACCCCTTCCAATTCTAGGGTCTTATGTTTATAAGCCTGAGTGCCCAAAGTGGTCCCCTTCATGGACTCATGTTCCTCTTCATGGACAAGATCGGAAATGTAGTCAGAGACTCAGGGACACATAGGCTGAATTCTTCAATGTTCTCGTAATGGTTAATGTGACGGAGGGGGGAAATTAGTAACTGCATTCCTTGAACAATGATTGACATTAAACTTACGGTACATGAAATGAGGCCATCTTTACATGGGGGAGGCCTTACTCACTGGTACGCCCTCAAAGGCCAAACGTGGCTTGGACCCAGAAAATATCACTTCTCCATCCAAACCCCTGACTTGCCGTGGCAAGTCCTTTCCCCTTATTAATACCTACTGGGGTCAGCCCTAGCAATGCCACCTGGATCATCTTGAGGTGGCACACCTTGGAAAGACTGTGTCTCTTTAACTGTTGAAAAAACAGAGGCCAAACTTTAACGTGGTGCTTTTATTTTTGTTGTGTAGCCTTGTAGTATTGCGTATTGCGGGAGATTTCTCTACCCCAGGAAAGGGGCCTCCATCTCAGGCGACAGCAGTGCGTGGAGGCTTCTGATTCACCCTCCTGGCTCTGGATCAGCGGTAGAAGATGAAGACCGTGGAGTCCACCATGGCTTTAGAAACGCTCCAGCCGCTGTGAGTCCCGTAGCCGTCCCAGTCAAAGCCTGTGAAGTCACCACACTGACGTGGGGATCCTTCGGGGAAAAAGCCGCCGCCCCCAATGCAGTGCTAAGGAAGAAAAGAAGGGAATTGAACACCCTACGCGTTGGGAAGATGCCAGAGTGTGCTGTGGGCATGCACGGCAGGGCGCAAAACTGGAACCCCCCCAAAATCCGGCAAAGGCAAAAACAGAATTCTAGAAACGAACAGCGCGGCTCCAAGGGATGTAAAAGAATTGGGTCATGAATTCTGGTACAAAAGAATTTGGCTGTTAATTCCCTGCAGACCCCGGAAAGGGATGAATGCAAACATCAACCCAAGCTCAGCATATTCATGCCCAAAAGGTGCGCTACAAAGAGTGTTACGCAAGCAGGACTAGAGTTTATTAGAATTGCATTAGAATCCTGCATCGAAGGACTATACAAATCGAGGAATAAAAGTAGGGAGAATTGAGACTGATAGTTAAGTAAATTAGGGCAAGATGTATGTTACAACACTGGAATATAAACAGATTGTTTTTGCTTTTTTAAAACCCTGGGGGGAGGAACCCAAGTGGGAATATATTGTCTCAATAATGCAGATAGAGCGGTGTTTCTCAACCTTGGCCACTTTAAGAGGTGGCCAAGGTTGAGAAATATTGAGATAGAGAGTGGACGTGATTTTTAGCAATCAGCCCATCATGCTATAAAAATTCAGAAACCGGTGAGCTGGTTATATTCTACTGCAAAAGAATTAAAGCAACAGCAATAGGCTACTTTGGCCAAGAAAAGAACAACCAAGGATGAAACCTAGGCTTGGTCAGTGTTTCTCAAAGCGGGCAACTTGAAGATGTGTGGACTTCAACTCCCAGAATTCCCCATGCTGGCTGGGGAATTCTGGGAGTTGAAGTCCGGTCAGGGTTTTTCAACCCTGGCCACTTTAAGTTGGGTGGACTTCAACTCCCAGAATTCCCCATGCTGGCTGGGGAATTCTGGGAGTTGACATCCACACCTCTTAAAGTGGCCAAGTTGGAAAAACACTGTTCTAGGAGAAGGCCTGGATACTCACATGTTCTGTGTTGCATCCTGTGACTTTAACTCCAGAGCATAGAGCCATAGCTGCGTTTTCATTATTAAGCACGCGGAACTGGATGAAGCCGGCGGTAAATTCACCTGAGAAAAACAAAAGAAATACTGAATGTGGTTTGGGGGGTTGTAACTATTTTTGCAATCTTGGGAGATGACAGTCAGCAGAAGAACAAGCCCAGCTGGGTCTAGTGGCACCCAGAGGGCTGGCTGGGTTCACGTGACATGCTAGACCAGCATTTTATAAACTTGGCCACTTGAAGAGGTGTGGACTTCAGCTCCCAGAATCAGATCATGACAGCCATCAAAAGGAGAGGGGAAGCTCAGAGCCACCTACAATACACTTTCCAGGGGTCTTTCAAGAGAATCAGCTGAGAAAGAACTCCCAGAATCAAACCTTGAATAATGCAAGGCAAACCAGCTGTATATTGTTGTCAAGAAAAGCATGTGGACGTGGCTGAAAGATTTGGAGAAGCTTGCGTCCAGATAATGGGACTCCCAGATCAAAAGGTATGCCTCTAGGTCAGGGTTTTTCACCCATGGCCACTTTAAGTTGGGTGGACTTCAACCCCCAGAATTCCCGGTGCTGGCTGGGGAATTCTGGGAGCATGGGGAATTCTGGGAGTTGACAT